TTAGTCTCCTCACATAAAAATTAGACATTGATCACTTTAAAAGTAAAGGGTCAACACAAACAAGAAAACAATTGCAGTAAGTATAAGCACCAAATAAAGTTTATTCAAGACAAAATGACACCATGAAAATCAGTTCAAATTGTAGCCACTGCTGTGGTCTGAATGATGACAAGATTTAATGACACTAGAGAAAAAGCCATTGCAAATGAAAGACCTGAGTAAGTTGGTAAACACTTTCTCAAAATATGCAAATGTCACGAAGAGCAGCTGATACAAATCAACAAAACTTGTTTGATCATTACAAACCACAAGTACCAAAGCTTGATAGTTCAATTAACTTTGGAGGTCACAAATTACTTGAATTCCACTGGGGTAAGAACATTACAAATCCTTTCTCTAATCCACTCAGGTTAAAAGAGAGAAGGTAAGTTATTGTCAGTGTCCTAGAGCTTTGTTGAGTGCATCTAAACACTCAACAGCAATCTGTGCCTTGGCTTTATCTTCCTCACCAGACGCACTTGATAAACCTTGTTGAGCTTGCTCTAACTGTTGACTAACAGCCTGTTATAAAAGAAAAGACAAGACTTAACTACTCTATAACAATACTGTATTAGTTAAGACTTAACACCAAGGTATAACTAAACAAGCGCAACAGTCAATCCTCTTATAAGCTGGTGCCCTTAGGACCCTGGGTGCTCCATGCGCAGGGAGACTCTGCCCAAAAGAGATACCTTTCGTAGGATAGAGTTACATCATAGGGTAAACTGAAGTATAGAAAAGTGTAGAGACAACTACCATTTACGCACCTAAAAGGCTCTTTCAAAATAGCTGATGAATTATTCAGTCCAATGGTACAGATAAGGGATGCCTTGTACCTATTGTGTGGAGGCGCAGTGGCCTCATGGTTTGTGCGCTCGTCTCCGGATCGAGCGGTCCAGGTTCGAGCCCTGGTCAGGGACATTGTGTTGTGTTCTTGGGCATGACACTTTACTCTCACCGTGCCTCTCTCCACCCAGGTGTATAAATGGGTACAGCAAATTTAATGCTCAGGGTAACCCTGTGATGGACTAGCATCCCATCCAGGGGGGAGAAGAAATACTCCTAATCGCTTCATGCTAAGGAAACTGGGATAAGCTCTGGCCTGGTGGGCCACTTGGCTCGTGTGCAGACTTCTGTACCTATTGTGGGAACATGAAGGGAGTACCATCTTCTCCACTGATTACTTAAGATACACATTTGTTTGGGTAATCTTCCTTTGGCAGACCCCTCTACAATAATTAATGAACCTCTCTAAATCGCGGGGGTGGGGAGGGACTTCCTTATAGAAAGGACGAGGGTGCTTGTCTGAAATTCTGAAAAGAACCCCTAAGAGTTACCAAGATACATTTTTTTGTGGGTGTGACTTGGAACTTTTTTCACCCCTAAGAGGTATTAATTCTAAAACAACACATTAACTGACACTGACTTTATTCGGCTCAATACTCCAAAAGTTACCAGGGCTGTCATTAAGGGCCGTAACCCGTAACACCTGTTACGGCTGAGTATGCTTGATTTTCCCTTCATGCTACGGGTGATATAGCCAGTTGTTGATAGAATTCGACCACAAAGTAACACGTTTGTTACGGTGTGGAGAACAAGGCTGCAGGTAACTTAAGATGTAATGACGGCTCTGGTTACCAAGTAAGCTCCCACTGAACACCCTAAGAGGTACCAACACCACTTTTTTAACCCCTAAAAGGCATGACAAGCACTCCTGTCCTTTTTACATTGAAGTCCCACATGAAGTCATCTTAAATTAACTTGATTGTAAATAACATTATATGATAATTATTGGTTGAATATCAATTGGCACATTGTCCTGTTTTCTGCTCCAGTTGCTGATGCTATTTTTCTTTTCTTTCTTTTTGTTGTACATGCAACAAATTCAATAACGTCTCCTCCCTGGCTCCAAATAGCCCTCTTGCCCTACATGAAGATCCTCTTCCCCCTCTTAAAGTCCCTGCTCACTATAACCTGTCCAGGAAAGCCTAAAATATCTGAAATATTGATCCAATTGGGTCTAAATATAAATTAAACTACAGTCTCTAAAAACAGTAAGGTGGTGACATACTTGAGGGTCAAATCTATCCAAAGGATGAGCTTCCTCAGCCAGAATTTGAACTGTAGAGTCAGCATTGATAGTCACTGTACCACTGCTTGCTGTGGAGAGAGAATGTTTGTAATTAGGGTTCAACTCCCTTTGGAACTACAGTAATATTGGGGACTTTCCAAGGACATTCTGGGAACTACAAGCATGAACTGTATGCGGACATCTTTGTTTTTTTGCCGCTTTTAGGCAACAAGTCAACAACAAACTTCAGGGGGTTTTTAAGGACCCAATGAACTTTTCAGAGACTTTCAAGGTCTTAAATTTTTAATTTCAAATTCAAGGACTTCCAAGAACTTTCCCTGTAAAAGGGAACATTTAAATAACTCCTACAAAATCTTTACCTCAAACCACACATAACTGGAGTCTCCTGATACCAAGATGTGCCAGATGATTAGAGACTAGAATTTAGTGTTTATGTGTGGCCAGGACCACAACTGCATGTAAGTATGAATGAATGAGTGAATGAATGAACAAAGGAAGGAAGGACTGAAGTTCTGAATGACCGAAAGATGGAAGATAGAAAGACAAAAAGATGGAAAGATGAATCAGTGAATGAGTTAATGAGCAAATGAGTGAAAGAGTGAAAGAGCAAAAGAGTGAAAGAGCGAAAGAGCGAAAGAGTGAAAGAGCGAAAGAGTGAAAGAGTGAAAGAGTGAAGGA